CTTGATAAATATTTTGTCATAAAAATCAATTTTCAATTGTAGAATAATCTTTTATATTTGCGATATAAAAAACAATCGAACATTCGAAAGGGCAAAATCCTGTAATTTTGGTAAAAGGCTCTCACATGGCCTTTGCGTAATGCACATTAAATCTTTGTTTTCAAAACTGGAAGACTGGAAGAAAAATGTTTTGAGTTTTGATTTGATGAGAAGTATTCAACCACCAATGAAAATAATGAAAATCTCCCTTTTTAAAGTTTACTTATTTCGGTATCTTTATGGGGGCTTAATTAAGAGGGGGCTTATTAAATTTATCCTTCTGAAAAAGAGGGCTTATAAGAGAGGGGGCCTAAATGAGAGGGGGGCTTGAAAGAGAATATACGTTACAGGAAAATACAAAACACAGGAAGTTTGCTTTTTAACATGAAATTGTTGGGCTTCGAATCAAACGTTTGAGAAAAATTAATAGTAATACTTGTATCAATTTATATTCATGGTTTTTAATCTTTGTTTATATTTTTTGATTTTTTGATTTAAAGGGAATTCCCTAACAGTATTTTCTAGCACTCAAAATTATTTTGTGAAGGAGACCAGATTTATCCCAGTTCAGTTACTAGGAAGGACTGGTTTCTGTCCTATCGCGTGCTAAAAGATAAGCAATACATGAGCAGCTATGAAGCTGAACTCACAGATCTTATAAGTAACTTTTAGGGCTTATAGAGTTAAAGTGACGTCATCAAAAACCTATTTTTAGAATTTTTGAATTTTAACCACATAAAAGATTACTATAAAATAATTCCAGATATGCAAAATTAGTCAAATATGTCCGAAATCAGTTGAGATATTGCCAATGAAAGAAGTTTGCTAACGAATCACTGTTATTTTCGCTCAGTTCATAAAGTACAGAGGTTGACCAAAATACAGAGGTTTGATGGGGGAAAGAGCCAATACACATGTGGCCATATCTCAGCCAATTCGTAACACATTTGACTGATTGTGCATATTTAGAGGTATTTTATGATGCTCTTTCAGGCTATGGGAGCCAAATTCAAAAATTATAAAATAGATTTTTGTGACGTCATCACTTCAGAACTCGATACCGAATGAACTTGTTTTTTTTTTAATCTTCTTGTGACAGCGGAGCATTCAGAAAAAGCGATCAAGATTTAATAAGAGATACAGACGCTTGAAAAAAATTAAAAAATATCTAGGATGTCATTTTACATACAAAGCCCATCCTTTTTAACATTTACTTCGATGATTGCCCTTTTAATCAATGAAATTAAATTTTTTCCGAAAAGCAGATCGCTCTAGAGTCTGTATCTTCCTAGATCCCAAACTCTAAAATAGTTCATTTGCAAAAATAGTTTGTCATCATCATTATCTTCATTGTGAAACATATATTTATTTATTCATGTCCCTAGTCGCAGAATGCAGTTCAACATAGAAAAATAAAGATAAAAAACAAAACGCTACACAGTGAGATTGCTAAAAAGGATCATTTGATTAATTAGATATAATTAAATGTGTATTTACACAATCGAACTACGAACAACAAGAAGATATAAGTAGTGATTAAGAAGATATAGGTTTGAATATCAAAATACTCACGTTCAAAAATTTACAAGCCGAGGATTCAAGCTATTAACTTTCCAAGCTATTAACAATGTTGCTAAATCCTCCCCCCTCCCCCGTACAATGTTGATTCCTCTATTAGAAGTGTTTATGCGTCCAATCCTGGTTAGTTGGTCACAATCATGCAATATTGATATCAAGCAGCATTGTAATGGGGGAGGGTTCTCGCTCCCACACTAGATCCACTAGATTCTCTTCTTTTTGCAATGCCAACGTTACTATTAGCCCCGTCAGCTTGGTTGGGAAGCACGTCAATGCCAAATTAACAATATTTTAAAGCTTATTGAGAAAAGTCACACTAGAAATACTATTACTTGTCAGTTTTTCAAGTGACACTGGCTGTTTCAGACAAGGCCCAATTCCTATCTGTTCAAACAATTTGCAGTCTAAAACAACTAAAAATGCATCAACTCGCAATAATTCTTTGGATGTACTTCTACCAAATATTTAAAAAAGCACCTGAGAACCATGAAAAATCTGTTCTTTTACCTTGAAAAGGAAAAAGAGATGCAAATTCTCAGAATAATTTTTTGAATCAAAACAACGTAGATTGTCTTCTTTCATGATTTTCTACCTTATATTTGAAAAAAAGATTTAAATAACTTTCAAAAAACCTGTGATCCCTGACTTTGGATCCCTGACCCGTGTTCACCGAACTCCTATCAGAACATTCAGCATATTTGAATGTTTAAGGACGTCAGAATTCCATTTTATTTTACAAATTCTGTTCCTTTACAGTCGCACATTTAAAAAATGACCGGGCATAAAAATTGCAGTTTCTACCACAATTTTTCATCCATTGATGATACAGTATACTCTCATTTCACTCAAGTGACCGAGCAAAAGTGTACTTCTTAGCGGGCGTCTTACTTACCCAAATGCTTGAAAAGGGTAAGCAAGTTCAAGAGACGGGGAAAATCTGTACTACATAGCGGGCGTCCTACTTATCCGGGGCCCCACTTAACGAGAGAGCAGCTGACAAAACTTTTAAATTGTTGTGAAGTCAATATGTTTCGCAGCCCACGCCATCATGGGGGAGTCCTACTCGTCCCAGTCTTCTTACGTTATATATTCACGCCCTATATTGTAAGGTCAAGTTGTTTGAACGTTTACGTTATAGTTGTTTATAGTCACGTTTTGTATATATTTAAAGATAAAATCGACGATATGGAGTTTCATTCACGTCTACGCTCTACCGAAGCTATGTTCAAAATATAATGGCGCCCAACGTGGCGCACGGAATACGACGAAATCATGGCCACTGATACAGAGGGTAACAGTGGACAATTAAAGAAATTGTTAGCAATACGAGGAGGAAATAGAACCTCCATTACGAAGCTTGAACGACAAGCCACGGCTCTTCTTGAAGAACTAATTAATGGTAATGGAGAACAAATCGAGAAGGTGATTCGTTTAGAAACGATACAAAAGTCTCTTCGAGAAAAGCAAACGTACGTGAACGGACTAAACGAAAAGATACTGGAATTATGTCCAGACGTTAACATCGAAAAAGAAATCGATGAAACGACGGAGCTGAATTTCAGAATCGATGAAATTCTGGGAAGAATTCAAGCTTTTAAAGACGGTCGTTACGCTCAGACCTATGCATTCGGAGTTGGGAGTGGAACGACATTATTACGCCAACGCCTTCCAGAAAAGCTGAAAACGTTGAAGAAGCAACAAACAACGAACATGGTCTCAATACAAGCGGGGTTACCATGGGTTCTGTTGCCATTCGTCTGCCAAAAATAACGCTCCCACGATTTAACGGAGATATTACACGTTTTATGTCCTTTTGGCAGAGTTTCGAGAATGCAATAGATAAAAACGAAAGCAAAACTGCAGTTGATAAGCTCAACTACTTGGTGAATTTGTTGGAGGGTCCAGTATACCGTGCAGTATCAGGACTCGAACTGACGAAATATATTGACTTCACAACATACATTTCAAAGCGTGAACAGTTTTTTTGCGGTACAGAATTTGAAAATGGCTTTAAAAAAGCAAACATTTTACAACATACTAAAAGCTTTTTATTGGTAATTTTTCTTTAGGCTCGCGGCACTGATTGGTCAACTATACCGGTCTTGTGCTTGCGTTTTTCTGATTGGCCTATTTCGATCCACAACTGGGTATATATTTTTCCATCGTGTTTTTTCGGAACCTATTCTGACGTTTTATGCTCTGAGGAGTGTCAGACGAAAAAGCTTTTAGTATGTTGTAAAATGTTTGCTTTTTTCAAAGCCATTTACATTTCAAAGCAGAGAAACATCAAATTTCATGGTTCCTAGTATCTTTAAGAACAATTCACCAAGCAATATGACGTAAATGATGAAAATCAGAATAATTACAACCTACAGTTGACCGAGTAAACAGCACTTTCTGCTCGTGCCAAGAATATTATGATTGTCAATCAGACAACGGTTTAAGAAAACAACATCAAAGAAATCATAAAAGCCTACTCACAAAAACTCAAGAATATTACAAGTAGCCAAACTCTCTCTAAAATTAATCAGCTGTAGCTTTACCATACCTAATATAATTAATAAGCAACTTCAAGTGAAATATCATAAATTAATCTCTTGGAAACATTTCCATTTTAAGAATCTCTTGGCATAAAATAGTTTAACTACGTCAATTAGATCGTAGCCAATCACTTTCTTCAGTTACAAAAAGTAATTTATCATAGCGGTTCAATTTAAGAGCCTTATTTGAACATGAACCTCAAAAACATCTGTGCACAAAAAGAAGGCAAAATTGAAGCTTGCCGAAAAGTGGCAAAAAGTGGCATTTTCAATGAAGACATTCCTTTGAGCAGCAGAAGGCAGATGATTTTGTCGATCAAAACTTTTAACCCTTTGATGGCCTGAGAGTAGCTGACATTAAAATCGGCATGTAAAAGTTCAAAGAAAAGAAGCACTTGGTTTTATAATTCCTATCAGTTTTAACAACAAGTCACCAAGCAAAATGATTAAAATTAAAATAAATAAATACTGGTGACCTGTCTAACAACTCTTTCTGTATATATTATGAAGATAGTGATTGTTAAAATTAATCTGTTGTAGCCTTATTATCTGTTGTAAAATTAATCTGTTAATACAAATAATAAGTGACTTGAATTAAAAATGTTCTTGTCATTAATAAAGCATCTGAAAACATTGCTATTTTAAGAATCGTTTGGCATAACGATTAGTTTAACTACGTCATCTAGATCGTAGCCAATCACTTTCTTCAATTAAAAAATGTTATTTTTAGCAGTTTAGACTATAAGAAAGCCTGAACACGAACCTTGCCTGCATTTAAGGGCAGCAAGAAAGTGACTGGTTACAGTTAGTGTTTTAAACTGTAAATTTTGAGCTGAACAGAAAATGGAAACTAGACATAGTTATGGATTCTTGGTCATAAGCAGTGCGGGAATCATCCTCAACACACTGCAGATCACCATGATACTTAGGGAGAGAGATCGTCGCCATCCGTTCAAGATTTCGATTTTGAGTCTCGCAATTGCCGACCTGCTTATCTGCTTGGGATGCGCTGTATTCAGCAGCTTTAATCTTGTTGGTGACCCTGAGCTCCAGCCTTATCTCAGCTTCATTTATGTGACAGTTGCACCTGTTTCGGTCACATGCTCTTCTCTTCATTTGATATTCATTACGCTGCAGCGACTGATAGCAGTCCGGTTTCCTCTAAGCTGCAGCCGCATCATGACTACAAAACGATGCGTTCTAGTCTTGCTGATGATCTGGGCCATTTCAACGACACCAATTCCCTTTCCAGGGAAACTTAAGTACTTGATGGGCGCTGCCACATTGATATGCGGAGTTGTGCTGGCAGTGGCTTACAGCTTCATTGGATACCTTCTTACGAAACGTGGCAATATCGCATCGTCAGCTGCCCAGTCATCTCAAAACACCTATGTCCTTGCATACGCGATAACGCTCACATCAGTCTTTATTTTCTGCACCTTCCCGCTGAGCTTTGAGATTATCACAAAAATAGGAAAGAGAAATACTTCCAATTCAAATCGTGGCGTTGTTGCAATGACTTTCTTGTACTGGCTCAACCCATTGATGGACCCGATTGTCTATGTCTTGCTTAAATTCTTCAAAAGAGGAATTAATAAATGCAGCCGCAAGCAAGGGAGAATGGTTGCCTTTTCAGAAAACGATAGAAAATTCAAATGTCAATCATCAGAGGGGGTGACTATTTGTTCCAAGGTTTGATTACAAACTGTCAAACTACAGTCATTTACTGTCTTGCTACTGTCAAACTGTCATTAAACTATGAAGAAAATGATCTGGGCTTAAATGACAATTCTTCAATAAACAAGCAGTTCAATTCAAGCATGCTCACATTCAAGCATGTAGGGATATATAATCACAGCAATACTGCAAACTGCGAACTTGAGGTCTAGCGATACAGCATCGTAGATAAACTATTCTGACTGAGCTTTTTCTACAACCATTTTCTCTTCGAGCTGCACCATAAACGTTACATGTATGACGCTGCCAAAGAATATGTTTATTTCATGCTACTAAAGCCTTAAAAACTGGGTAGCTGCAGGTTAAAAAAGGGAATGTATCCCACGCACGTGCAAAGGGGAATAACAATTAGTCAGAGAAATAAAACATATGTAACGCTCACATGTGAGAATCAGATAATCAAAAATCAAGTCTTGGCATCAGAGGTGGGGTACCACAAGACGCAGGTATCACAAGGCATCCATTGTATCCTTGAGAAACTGCCAAAAGCACTTGAAGATGATTTACATAATAATCGGAAATTAGTTTTGATTTAAACCTGGTTAGAGGGTATGTGCCGAAGTACGTGAACCTTAAAAGATAGTATATGCGCGCTCTGCCCCGGGAATGACTCGAGTTCACTGACTTATTCTCATTTAAACAACTAACCTCCCTTTCAACACCCATTCACAAAACGCATTGAGGCTTATGCTGGCTCTATAGGCTTATAAGCTTGAAATAGTTTATTCATAAAGCACAGTATTTCAATCGATAAAAAGCATTTATGAGTAACAGTAACTATAATCTGAGTAAGACTTCGTGAATGGTTCACAAGCTATGAGCAAAGACACAAGACCTACCAGACAAAGAGGATTATGACTAACCCTTGAAAATGGTTTTTCAAATGGAAAATTGCACGCACAAAGCATTAAGAAAACATCAGTAAATCTAATTCCAAGATATTCGTTTCCTGCTGTACCTAAAATTTAGTCTTGAAAAAAATAGGTTTGGTAAATTATGGAAACGCGATAACATAAAAGATAGCATTTCCTGGCTTAAAAAATTCTGGTGTTACAGCAATGTATGCCATTTAAGCTAAAGCATATCAAGGCCGTGGTTACTATTGTTCTTGAGATGCACGACCCCAAGAATTTATGAAAATTATCATTTCCAACGAACAATCTCTTGTGTTGCTGTTGTTCTCAAACAATGGTACCCCCAAAACAATTCCTAAGGTACTGAAAAAATAAAATATAGAGCGGATTAAGCCAATTTGTAATATTCAGTTAATACGCTTACCTCTCCTCAAAATGTAAGAAACCCAAACGAGGTATTGAATCTATCTTAAAATACTTGTAGAAGTACTGGCGGAAGAGATAACAGTTTTTCAGGATAAAGATTCATGCAAATTACAAATTCTGCGCAAAAATTTAGGCCTAACGTGCCAACTCACTATCCTTAATCCGCAATGCCAAATGACCACATTTTAGTTTAGTCTATCAAGTATTTATATCGTCTCTTCGGAATCGTTCTTCATCTTTCTATTCAATAGAACAGTTGGTCGCCCATCTGTAACACTGTTTCTCTGCTCTCATGTACGCCTCACTCGCAGCGGATTGTTCTTTTAACGGTTTCTACTTTTTTGAACGCAACATAAATACCTTTGAAAGGATTTTCAATGAAGATGGCCACCCGGTCTTCTTGCATTGCCATATGATCCTGGATCTTCTTTCTTCTCAGGCTCAATCGTCACCATATCATCTATTCTTAATATCGTTATTGCTGCCTCAGTAGCAAACTTGAGGCATTTTATCTTGCCCATCGCTGGTTCAAGTACCCCGGCTTTTTTGTTATCACGGACAACACCTTTGATTAGGTCCAGCCCAACCCTAGATGAAAAAAAAGATGTGATTCATTACACTTTGATAGGAAATTTTTAAAAAAACCGTTATCATTAGATCATGTCCTTCTCGACTAGGCCCCTCTCTGAAAGAAGCCCCTCTCGATTAGCTCCTCCCCGAAACAGCCCCACCCTCGATAAGCCAATCGTAGTATGGCGTAAAAAACAAGTAGAATACTGCAACTTATATGTAGTTACAAGTGATTTAAAGAGTTTCTTATCCGATTCATATTTCTTCCAGATTTTTCGGTTACAAATCTTGTTACTTTCAAATTTTGAACAGGATTAGTCTCGCTTTCATTAACCTAGTTTCGTTTTTATGATTGTAATCGAACTGCCAACAACAAATCAATTATAATCTATCAATGTAGCTAGTATATGGCTTATGATTAAAATAATTTCATCTAGCCATTGAGTAATTGAGTCGTCGAGATGTTAGTTGTCAGGATGGAGATGTTCATAATTTAACCTGCATTAGAACAGAATCTTTCTTTGAGTTACCGTCTCCCGCTGCGCAAACTAAGGCCCATAACAGACAATAACCAGTCCTTTAACATCGAATTTTGAATAAGCCCGGTTTCGGATTTATTACAAATACTGCGGTAGTTATCAGAATTGAAATGATACATAGCTAATACCGGAAGATGTAGCATAGGCATAAAAAAAATTTCGTTTATCATCCAGACTAAACCACAATACAAACCAAAAAGACCACAAGAAAATCACAAGAAGTTTGCAGGAGACGAACAATCAATGTTAGCGAGCACCATGTCTCCTCATTTAAAGAGCATCCTTGCATTAATTGCTTAACATCAGGTCCCTAAACTATGCCAAGAAAATTCTTATAAACTTGTCTTCTTTAAAGAGCTCTTGTTCTATAAAAATATCGAAAGAACGAACAAAATTTCCGGTTCACAAGCTAGAAAGACTGCCTTTCTGAAAATCTTTCTATTTCTAAATCTTTTTGCTTTGGGAGGAATAATCTTTAGCTGAAGCACTTCTTTTTAAACAGCAAGTTATCACGTTAGTAAGAAAGCAATAAAGAATAAAAGAAGAAAAAACCTGAAGAAAATGTAGAAGCAGGGCGTCCGAATTCGCCGGATGACAAAATACATACCACTTAAGGTCGGCCTTTTCTTTGTGGATTTGCGATGTGTTGTGGTAAGCTCTGAGCTTGGACACCAGATCTGCAGAGTCCTTTGCAGCATTTACCGACAAGATTTTTGGGATAATCAACAAGGAATTGGCAAATTCTGCAATCGCTAGCTGCTCCCTGGACGCCTAGAATAAAGGTTAAAAAATATAAACTAGCAAAGCGTCATCGATTTGCAACATGATCTATCCGTAACATAATTGATTAAATACAACAGCAGATTCATGTATTCGACTGTTACTTGAATGTAAAACCAGACTTACTAAGGACGTTGCAAAGCTCTCTAGATAGATTGATAAGGCCGCTTCAACAGCACCACCCCCAGCAACAATCGATTTAGATTCCATCACTCTCTTAACAGCACATAACGAATCATGTAGTGACCGCTCCATCTCATCTAGCATAAAGTCGTTCGCCCCACGAAGAATTATAGAGGCAGCAGATTTTACTTTGGGCCTGAAAACGAGATTAAACAACTATAAAACTTCCACTTATAAATGATTACCAAAGGTCATGATTACCGAAGGTCGTTGAATATATGTACTTATCTAAATGGCAAAAAAATATCTCGCCGTTCAGATTTGTAGACAAGAAGGCATCGGCTGGTGTAAATTCACAAGAGTGTATGGAAATTAAGTAAAAAAATTGAATGTCAATTGAGGAGCTATCGAAAGTGATGAGTTGTCAATCTACAATACACAATGCAATGCTTTTCTTATTTTCAAACTTTCAACTCCAACATTCTTTTTCTTACAGATCGATTCAAAAGACGCATAAGTTTACAGATCGATTCAGGTGTGAGAATTGCTGAGGTCACTAACGACAGATCCCAAGGCAGTGGTTCCAGTCCCTGACAGGACCATACTTTCACCTAGAGTGAGGGGATTAGCCAGCTCCCTATATTGCCAGGCTTGGGAATCACGTGGTGTGGTCACATCGCGAGGAAGGACCAGGACACTGCTCAATAAGCATAAGCTTTTTAGGGTCCTAAAAAAATACCTTCGGATGCTAGGTAGCAAATACAAAATAAAAAAGACGCTATAAAAGAAGCGGATAGTTAGATATAAATATTCTACCACTCACGATTTAATAAGTATGAGTTCATCGTCACATATTCTTTCTTGCACAACTTCGTCAGCATGACCAAGGAGGGAAGCATCGAAACTTTCTTCTCCTTCCAAGTTTGCCAGGCTGACAACGATCGTAGCTGGAAGGGAAAGCGTATCACGCAACTTAAGTCATGTCAGTGACATTTGCAACAGTAGAAAGACAGTTGTCAAAGTCCAGATTTACAAATTATTTCCTATAAAAACGATTTTCATCCCAAACAAAACGGAAAAAATACCTCCAGTTGCCCTGGAAATTCTCTTTAAATCTGGTTTTCTGCATCTTCTAACAGCCATTGCACCAGCTTCAACAAAATATTTCAAACATAGGTCATCGATTCCACCGGTCGTTAGAATAACATTTGCACCACTTGCTAATATTTTCTGAATCCTCTCTTTTGTAATATCTGCCTCCCTGTGGTTTTAAAAATATGTTACAATTCAGCATGATACAAAATAAACCTAACAAAAACATCAGTAGGATATAACAAAATAAAGACGAAAAGATTTACACTCGTCGCGTTCAGTTTGCAAAAACAACTGTTTTAAAACAAAAAATTATACGATCAACATTGCAAATTTTCATTAAACAGCTTTCCCTTCTATGCCATTGTGACCCACAACTTTCCTACCCCCTCATTCTTCTTCAACCAACAGTCCCTTCTCTTTTTTCAATAATTTGTATCCACTACTCGTCTTAACTAAACTACACTCCACTCTTCTTGTTCCTATCCAATCACTTTCCTCTTAACTCTTTCGACACTTTCAGTTCTCTTTCCTTTATTTTTCTTGCCTTATATTTTAACTCTCGTTCTATACAATTTCTCTCCTCGCCTACAGTGAAAACTCACCTCAAAACAATCTTGTGACTGAGGAATTACATTATATAAATGGTTGAAAACAAACGCTTGTGCATATTGATAAGAAGTGCAAGAGAGCCACAAATCACCTGTTTCTGATTGCATCTAATTTTTCAGGATCATCAATCAGAACATGAACACCAAGATTCATTTTTGCTTTCTGCAGACTAAAGTCTAAGCAAGCAATCTTCGCGTTGGTCACTTTCTTTGGCATTCCTAAATTCAAAATGGAGATGCAAAGAAAATGGTTAATTACAAAGCAATTGTCTCTTGTTCCTTTTAAAGTACAGCTGCCTACAGCTTGTCAAAAACTAACATTTTACATATGTATTTATAACGCAAAAGTAAAATTCCAAAAGGATTTTTGTCAAGAAAAAACAAAAGAGCCCTAACTTCGATGCTAAATACTTCTGAGGTACAAATTATTCATTTCAAAATACCTTTCGTAAAAGCTGTCAAAATCAAGTGCAGTAAAATTTCAAAAACTGAACATAAAGAAATACCAAATTACAGCGTAAACCCTGAACTTTGAGTTTATCTAACAAAATAAACCACTGGAAAGCTCCTAATGAAGACAGATCATTATTAGACAGACAACATGTAGCTATTGTATCAGGACTTGAAGCAATTCCTTTGGGCAGTCCTGGACAGTGCCGGGGCTCCTTCACTTAACTGCTGATATTTCCGCTATTTTAGATTCCGATGGCTTTGAGCATGAATTTTGTTCAACTAATACAACAGTACCAAAAAAATTCTGAACTATTATCCCCATTACAGTATATGGCAAATTGTCAATTACCAAAGAATAATACCATAATTCACAAAGACGATCAAACTCACCCTCACATGCTACTGTACAGTTAAGGGCATATCCACCAACCAGTGTGCTCTGCTTCATATTTCCACCATGTGCTTTCAATATGTTGACTGCCTTAACTGGAATTTTCACTTCTCCTTTTGTGTTTGTTCTCTTTACAGCTGTCACAGCATTAACAATCATTTCAGCAAAGAAATCCGAGTCAACACCCACAAGCTTTGAGGACATTGAAGTTTTAGCAACGTTGAGAAAACAGTCTGTACCAATTTCGTCTGTGCTCACAGACAGATGTTCCTGAATATATTTACATGCTTCCCTAAAGAGAATACCAGAAGATACAGTTAAAAACGTATAACTCCAGTGCCTGACAATTTGAGATATTGAAGTATCAGACATCTATACTTTTCAAACAAGGATGCTACTAAAGAAACAGTTTTCAATTATTCCTACTAGGTGTGGCCAGTGGGACTCAGTCAAATGAATAAGGGGGCAGTTTGATTCAAGCATCAGGCAGAGATATTGAATTGAGAAAGAGTCAATAAAAATTAGAATAACAACCTGCATGCAAGCCTATATCCACTGATTATACTTGTTGGATGGATCTTGAACTTGATAAGCTCGTTGGCATTTTTTAAAAGCTCTGCAGCTATAATCACCTATAAAGAAAAGAAAACAATCTAAATAGCTGTCAGTTTGTAGCAGGGCTCTCGCTGAAAATGAAAGGTCTCATTAGTCAAGAGGCTTGGTTGGTCTCATATATTTTTAGCTTGGGATCAGTAAAACATCTGGTTAGCAGAACCATCATATTCCTCTATTGCAGCATGTCCTTTATGGGCAACATGTCCCCTATTGAAAAAATCTTCGGAAAAAATCATGCTTTGATGGCAAGGAAAGTAATGAAAAATTTCAAAAAAAGACCTTAATCCTTTTAAACTCAACCAGTTAGGTAAACCTTGGGTGCTTGCAATGATTCAATTTACTTGGGGGCACTAGACTAATTTTTCTATACAAAATCTTTGAATATTCATTAATAAAGTTATCCTAAAACAGCTTTTTATAGACCACCCACCAAATATTTTGTCCTTTACAAGCAGCATGTCCCCTATTGTGCTCAATATGATTATTACTGAAAAAATCATGTTTTGATGGCATGGATGCATATTTAGCAGAGCAGCCAATGAGTGACAATGTTTGATGGATGAGACAGAGTACCTTTTGATCTAAACAAAGGCAAAATAGTCCAGGAACGTAGTTGGGAAAAAAGTAAAATCCTTATGTTAGATGCTAAAATGCTAAAATTTGAAGAGAATCAGAAAAGCATTTAAACATTTTGATAATTTGTGCAGCCAATGATTTGCTAAACAAGGCTGACCTGTTGAACAAACTTAATGAACGTTATGTTTAGTTCGTAACACCAAAACAGTTCCCCTAATAAGGATTTTTGTTAAATCTGAACTCCACTGCATTTATAAAACTTAAGCCTACCACTGATGTTGTGCCATCCCCAACTTCTTGGTCCTGCAGATCAGCAAGTTCACAAAGCACTTTAGCAGCAGGATGTTCAACTTCAAGTAACTTCAAAATTGTAGCCCCATCGTTTGTTATTGTAACATCCTAAATAGAAGTAATAAATGCTTTTGAAATCTCTTGGTTCATCAGAAGACAATCAACATATATTGCAAGAAAGATTTCAGGTAAACTGAAAATCATATGCATTGATATTTGAGAGCAAAATAAGCAAGAATATTCTTGTAGCTCTAAATGTAATGGTGAAAATACAAAATATATATTGCTACAAAATCAATTCATGTTAGAAACTATATTGTTCAGTTTGAACAATGAAATTTTGTGCATCCAACTTGAACCAATAATGAACAATTCAACAAGAGAATAAGAAAGATGAAACTCCTTATATAGATGCTCTTTGATGATTTACATATGAAAGATGATCTGAAGTTAAATTAAAAGTAATATTTTAATTCCTACTTCAACCTCACACAATATCAGAACCACTTAAATTTGAAAAATTTAAGCTCTCTTTCTGCCATCTAACTAAAAGCAGAGATTGACTTTTTAAAGCTAGTTGATAAAGCACCATGTTGATCCTTTAAATTGATGTGAAGGTGTGTAAAAGAAAGTTTATTATGTTTTTACTTTTCATTTCTAAACTTTAAATGATGAGCAACAATATAGAAACTAAAAAACCATCTTACCCCAACATCATCTACCAACATCTTATCAAGCCCAACTGGTCCAAGGGAGCTCTTCACTATATTTGCAACAGCAGCTACAGCCATCACTAGAAAGTGGATCAAAAGGTACTGATAAATCAGTAGAAAAAATAATAATATATATAATAAGAGGAATATTTATACAGGGTAAAACCTTGTCAATACTACGAGTATTGTTATCAATAAGAGCCCTTTTTGAAAGAAAAAAAATGTAACACATCAAAAATACATAATACAAAGTAAATGCACTGGGCTGGATATAATTTTGGCCATCATACATGACATCAACAATAGAAACTTCCAAATCCAAATCCTTATGTTCAAACCTTATCTATATCAAACTGGAATGTTAAAAATTAATTTATTCTTATCAATTTTGATGTGCTGAGTTCAAAAATGATGTTTTCAAGAGAAAATAAGGTACCAGGAAGCCTTTCATCTTTATCAAAATTTGAATGTGGAAAAAAGGTTGTAAACCAAATGATTGTGATTCTCATCAATTTCAATATGCTGATTTTGAAACTTGATCTCATACGACAGAATTTTGAACATATGGGTACCTTTTATGCTTAAACATTGTTTTTGTGAATTCCAACAAAAATCTAAAGTTTAACTTAATTGCTTGCTGTTGCTGTAGATGCTTATTACTTAAGTCCAAGGATGGTAAAATCCTGTTGCTTCAAATAAAGGTAGGTATCCTGTCGCTGTGTACGAAGAATACAGGTACTGTTTAGATGCTGTTGTGGACTGTTATGATACATCGAAATAAGAAGAATTTCTTTGTACACAAAAATTTGTTTATTTGTTGCTAAAAAAAATAAGAGATGCACCTAGTGTTGCTAATAACAGCAGGAAAAGTAAAAAATTGGCTCAGCTCAGCCCCTGAGCCCCTAGTTCTACACTCCTGGTCTAGAGTCAATAGAAATAAGGCCTTACATCAAGCTAAACAGCTGTTGCCAGTTATAGATAATCTTTCTCTGCTTGCTTTGTATTTGTCTCAGGCACTGACTATGTCTCAGGGCAATCAGGCAAAACACCCCAGCCAGGAAAGTTGAAGCCTTGCAAAGCGTACCTCCCTTGACTCCGGCATTGCTGACTACTATGTTTCATGTGCTATAGTCAGCGTTCTTTTGATTAATCAATTTTCTGCTGGTAATTTGACAGTTGGTTAAGCTATTAGCCTGAGTTTCAGATTAGATACGTTGGCTGTGAAACTCTTTGAAGTCAAAATCATAAAAGTTGGATAATTTGGCTCTATTTTTAATGCTATTTAGACTTTTACAGTATTGCCTGGACGCTCTCAGGATTGTGCTTGGACGTTCATTAAGTAGTGTGCTTGTGATACAGGCTCGTATGGATGGGGGGGGGCATGAGGGGCATCACACCCCCATGGAAAAAACATTGTTGTCAAATCTGGTCAACCGTTGGCAAACTGGTCTACCTTCGGCAAATCTGGTCTACCATTGGCAAATCTGGTCTACCATCAGCAAATCTGGTTTACCTTCGGAAAATCTGGTCTACCGTCAGCAAACCTGGTCTACCTTCGGCAAATCTGGTATACCGTCGGAAAATCCTGTGATATGTTGGCGAATATTGCCATTCGTAAGCAAACATTTCAACCTGAGGTGTCATGTCATATCCACCTATCCAGTGTCTGTGTTTTTTTAATCCAAAGCCTCTCGTCGATCCTGTCAGTAAGGTCAACGTGCTGAACTATTTGAATTAATGAGGGTCTCATTGCTCAAAACTTCACTTCTATAAAATCAAAGAAAGTACCCTCAAATACTTGAAAATTGAAGCGATGATTGACTAACAAGAACATACTCTTTGATGAACAAAATCAATAGCGTCAAAATGCCACACCCAGAAATTGATACATCTTAAACTATGCCCTATTTTGTGGGTAAATTGGTGACTGGTACCCCCCCAAGTGGAACTGCTCAGCTGAGTCATCATCTTTTTGTGGCTACAAGCAATTGAAATTGGCACACTAATTACAGGAAAAAGAGCATGTCTTGCATATCAAAAAGTTACGGAAAAGCATCTATATCAAGTGGAATTGCTCAGCTGAGTCATCATCTTTTTGTGGCTACAAGCAATTGAAATTGGCACACTAATTACAGGAAAAAGAGCATGTCTTGCATATCAAAAAGTTACGGAAAAGCATCTATATATATACATATATACATGTATGCATTCCCCTTGACCCACCACACAGTGTATTCATTTTTCGTACACAATGATGTGTCAAATATTTGATTTTTCAATTTTCAATAACTTATCAACATCCCCTGTCTCTGGCTACAATTATTGCCATAATAACAAGCCAATCTAACACAAAAAGAATTGTATAATTACCAGTATCATTTAGGAGCACCAGAGAAGATGGCAGCATCTATACATGGCCAGGGCCTTAGAAAGGATTTTAAAAGTAGGAGGAGCACATTTAGGCTAAAATAGGAACACTTTTTTTAGCTGTAAATAGGTACTTTACTCTTTTCCTGAAAATTTGGGGGGGGGGAGCAATTGCCACTTTTGCCTCGCTGGTTCCTATGCCTCGCTGGCTGCTCATGACCAAATTTCATAAATTTCCTCTTGACAATGTTACAGGATATTTGATAAATTCCACACAAGAGGAGCTTGAAAGTTGCTCGATGTGAATCTAATATTACCTCAGGACCAGCCTGCAGAGTATGGCAGTTCTCGATGATATCTTGCCCCGGAACAGTCATTTCAGCCTTATGCACAAAATGAAAAATTCCTCTTTACCAGTTATCAGACGTGCAAGCAGAGCTTTTTCAGAAAAAATTACCAACACCAATTAATTGCCCATAATATCATACACAAATACTGACTTGCTTGTGCAGTGTAATAAATGAAAATTTTGCATGGCTCTTTGTAAGCTATTGTGACACCATCCTTACACAAAAATTTTCATTTTGACTCTAAATGATTTCTTAAAGGATTTCTTATTTCAAATGGTTTCGTTTTTTTTGTTTCATGCCCTTCCTATGATGAGGGTTTTTAGCTAGAAACTTGCTCTTTTATAAACTCTAAAATAAAAAGTCAGTCATCTTATAAGACGCAGTTGGTTTTTTAAGTTTATTATCATCTTCTGAAGAAGAATTTTCCATTATCAAAGACCCACAGTAAAAACACAATGAGAGTGGCTAAACTAGTCATCAATTATCTAAAAGGTTCTATAATCTTTTCTTAGGACTTCATATTTAAGGCACTGCTTGCCCCTCTGCCCCTCCAGGGTAGGCGCCCCTGGCTGTGCCCAACCCGGCGGAGCTATGCCAGTAAGACGTCCCTGGTACCTACCTAATTAAAGCTAAATTTTTATTTAAGTCTCAAAGTAACTATTTATTCTGTTAGTCAAAATCTCTACATGGCAAGTACTTTTCCTTTCAATACAACTACAAGCCTACATGCCCTAAACCATGGCCAATTTAATTTCATATGAAATAATAGAGAATTCACAGACAACAGAGTCTCTTAGCAACATATTACGGAAAACTAAACTATTCTCATTTTATCTGTAAATTTTCGCTCATATTGAAAATATCGGGCGGGCACGTTTTGTAAATCAATCTGGATGTATTTGAGGTTAGAAGTAGGGTAGTTATTGCTGCACTTTCAAGGTTGGGAAAAGAACCTTCCTATCCTGCCAAACTTGCACGAATTGGCAAGCATAAAATGCCGTTTTTAATTTAACAACTGAGCTAGCTGGATGGCAAATCCACTTTATCTATTCATGAAAAATAAGTAAACTAGCCTATGGACCAAAAAGTAACGGAAACAAGTCTCTTTTACCCGATGAATGGTAGCAAAATAATGAGACTACAAACCATTTTCCGTCCTTATGTCCTTCCCAGTTGTCCTTTCACCACCCAGTAATAAGCCTGCCATATTTTCTGGCTTGGAATTCTATCACAACCGTACAGGAGAAAAAATTTGGGCTTGGCACGGTACTGCTACACCTGCAATGGCTAGGCCTTTTCTCTGGAAAGTTCCATGTGCATAACGCACTGGGCATGCGTTGTAAATGTGCGCCATCGCAGGAACCGTCAGGTGCTACAATTGAACTTCCAATTCATTTTTAGAAACCAAAATAAAGAAAGAGGAATTAATAATAAATGGGCGATACAATGCAGAAATCTTTCCTAGCTTCCATTGAACCAGTCTGCATATATGGCATTGCTAGCAGTTTGATTGTTTTTGCTGGATTAACTATAAATAACATCTTGACAAAAACTCTTTTTCAGTCGGCATTTAGAACTACAATCCCGGACAAAAATGGTTGAGACTTTTAAAGGAAAGCTTATATTTTCACTTTCCTTTAAAAAATAACTTTTCCCCAATTCACTGTTGAATGCATGATTATGAAGGGGAAATTATAGAACTACAAATCCAACATTGGTCCAGAGGGAAAGGAGGGGATTCGAATTTACAGGGGCAATGTAAAGTAGAGAATTACAAAAATTGCACTTTGCCTCAACATTTTTGTCCGGGATTTAGCCTATCTATAAATGCAATTTCATATTGAACATCAGCATTTCAATCTGGAATGAAATCCCATTAAAAACAACAAAGGGTGGCTAATAAGTAAGTAAGATATCTCTTCACAACGCTAAGACACAAAAGAAAAAAATATACGATCATAAAAGTCATAAAAGTAAATCTAATATTTCATAATGAAAACATTCTAACTTTTCTTCTTTGTATAGTTTTTCATCCTTTTTGTATACTGCGAAATAAGTGACAGTGAAATAAATAATTTTGTGGATAGCTACATCTTTGCTAGTATTGTCAAGAAGCCAACATGTTTTGTTTTAAATCAGCTAAACCTCGATGCATTGATTTAATTCTAACAAATAGAAAATCCAGTCTTATAAGCACGACAACATTTGAAACGGGACTTTCTGATTTTCACACAATGATCCTGACAGTTCTTAAAGGCGGCTATATCAAGAAAGGTCCAAGGATTTTTCAATACAGAGACTATACTAATTTTAGCACGATAAACTTTACACATGATATTGCTGATATGATATCATAAATGATTTATCAAGAAAGGTGCCCTTTGATTGTACAAATACAAACTTGACAAAAGTACTTTATCAGCATGCTCCAAGCAAGAAAAAATATATTCGTGCAAATGATGGTTCGTTCATGAACAAAGAACTGTGAAAAGTAGTAATGCACAGGTCTAAGCTAAAGAATAAATACAACAGGAATAAGACCAACGAAAACTGGAAAGCATACAAGCATCAGTGAAATAAATGTGTGGCAATATTAAGAAAATCTAAATTAATTTATTACAGAAATTTAGACACCCAAAATTTAGCAGACAATAGAAAGTTCTGGAAAACAGTCAAACCCGTTCTCACGGATAAAGTACAAGTATGAAGTTGCTCTCGACACAGCCGCAGACGATTTAGACAAAGAAAAGAGCAGTAATGACTTTTCTAATGAAGAAGATAATGAAGTAACGGAAACTGAAGAGGATGCAAATGAACTAGAAGATCCGGATTTGGAGGCAGATCCAGACGAAATCAAAGAGCTATGTATCCTAATCATCACTTAAACCAAGAAGTTTTAAGAATGCATGTAAATTTGATCCAAAATCAATTGCAGATTTGTATTTGTTACCAGTGGCGGATTTGAGGGGGGGGGACAACTAGGGGGAATTGCCCCTCCGTCGACGAGTTGAAGCAAGTATGGCGCCCCTTTTTTTGGAAATTGTGCGCCCCTTTTGAAGAATGAGAATGAGGTGAAAAAGTTTCTGAGACCAATAGGTTAATTTGCTTCAAGGATTACTTCAAAGTTATGTTGTTTATTCCGAAAATGGATCTGAAATTGTTGTATACAGCGTTCTCTCGTAATCAATTTTTGAAAATTTTTCAGCGCCCCCACTACCAACTGCCCCTCCTTCAAGTTTGCTCTGGATCCGCCCCTGTTTGTTACTACCTAGTTTCCCCCTGTAGTTTATTAGACACTGAGAAGCTGTGCTTATCGATCAGGCGCTGGTCTTTCTCGACTATTCTCGTGATTCTTAAGCCTGGAATCTCAGAGAGTTCCCAAGTTTTCAATTGCACGTGGATTAATCGGTGAATATTCAAACTTGGCAGCATATGAAGGTTGCATCACTCACTTTGTTGGCAATTGAGGCCTGAATACCTCCCTAGAGCGAAAAAGCTAGTAATCGCATTGCTTACACCCTATTAATCTAAGAACAATTTAAGAACAAGCCAGCCTCAGATTTTCGAAAAATTTTAGAACGGTCAGTCTGAACTTAAATTTACTGGTTCTTATAAAAAAGAGTGTATTGACTGGATAAATATAACGGTCATGTGCTTGCATTTTTCTGATAGGCCTATTTCGATCCATAGGTATTTATTTTCCATCTTGTTCTTTTTGACACCTATGTGAAACGAAAAAGCTTCCAGTTGTAAAATGTTTGTTTTTATCAAAGCCATAGGAGTTGGCAATGTTGAATCAAAATAGCACACTCTACCATTTTATAAGTAGACGATGCTAAGGATTTGTCAAACGTCAAGAAAAAATTAGAAGCAATCTGAGACTGAGGTACAGTAAAACAATGACTGCGGAGCAAATTGAGGATTAAGGGGGCTGACAAGATTTTTTGAGGCGGGCTAAACTAATAAAAACCAAGAACAAGATGATTTTTTGTATTGTTTTAAGTGAATTTTGGTGACGATTAGGGGACCCTTTCTCCCGCATCTGCCGACCCTAGCTATGAGGGGGTATCAAGGGTGTGGCACCTGCTTCAAAAATAGATTCTGCTTCAAAAATGAGGATTTTTTTGCCTTCTAGGGTTACCCTGTCGGCAATCATTGTCGCCAAATTTGGCCTGAATATCCTAATATAGCTTCGCTTCAGGCACCGCGGAGCGTTGAGAAAATGGGGGTTCTAAAAAAGTGGCGGGGGGCTAAAAACCAAATAAAAAGTGGTTCGACTGGTGATTAATTGGTAAACTTTTTGTTTTCTTGGCAAAAAGTGGGGGCTATAGCCCTCAGCCCTCTTCTCCGCAAGGCATTAAGTCGTGATAAAAGGAGAGGGTATACCCAAACGTGCTAAAATCCGCCGAGTCATGATTTTCTTGCTCCAATGCTATTGGTAGACCTTGTACTGGTCATATGAACCCACCTAGTAGAGCACAGGCTAAACTTATATTAACTAATAACCTAATATTAGCCTTCACTGATTTACGTGTATTTATTGTTGTTTATCCTCGGCGTATTGCGTTGTTTCTTATTTGCTACACTTTTAACCTAGTACTGATTAACAAAACAGTTCCCATCAATAGAAAGTTGTCAACAACGGATGCCGATATTACATTAAACTGCAGCGACCACGCCGAAACCAAATGACCCCCTATAGAGAAGGCATATTTACCTTTTTACCATGACTCATTGCCAGTCCAGCCTTTACAATCAAACAACCCAGCCTTTACTTTTTGGAAAAATTAAAGACAGCCAGTCTGAACCTCAATTTATGGTTTCTTATAAAAATTTTAGTTTATAAGCTTCACTACACAAGCTTCTGAGACTTATTGAAAAATTGGAGAAAATTTGGCGACGATAAATGATAAAACAGATGCTAAAAAGATTTAGGCCAAACTTTACAAAAGTTTTTAAATTTTTGTCGGTAGGATAAAGTTATTCGTTTCACATTACTAGTGACAGGCTGGTGATTTTTGAGAAATCAAGACTTCTTTCCGACTGATAAAAACAAACATGTTTAGTAAGGGTTCTCGGGGCATGCTTGACCCACCTTGTCTGGGTATGCTGCATCGAAATTATGTTGTAGAAATCATCAAAATTCCCTTTGCTGGCAACTGCTAGCCTATATCCTCCAATGCTGACTCCAGCTGTCACGGATATCATATGTCACCCTCAGCCAAACTAAAGGGTCTAAGGCGAGGCCCCTGTAAAGTTATAATGAGATGCATCATTTAGCTTTGGCGTTATTTCCCATAAGCTTGGCCTTTTTGGCATGCAAAATTTGACAAATTTGTGCAAGTCTTTATCAAAATCGACATCTAAGGCGATCTTCAAAATCAGAACCCAAGGGGTCTTCAAAAAGTGGACAAAGTTTCGGGCGGAAGCAATCACAAATTACACTAATCCTTTTTGTCCAACCAGTGTCCAATAAAACATACGTAGGTGACCCAGCGTAATAGATATAAGGGCACAGAAAATAAATTCCATAGCACACGATTATTTAAAATATGTAAACTTTAAACGAAACATGAGTGATCAAGTCAAAAGCATTTCAAGGTGTTCGCAATGACAAGCTACACAGTTTAACCCCGGCGTCTGCGTCTACGTCTGCGTCTGCCTCCCCATCTTCTCAATCTGATGCGTCGCAGTCTTATGCGTATACGAACTCGCCTAACAAGATCCCAGTAGGTTCTTGGGTTGCAATACTTGCAGTATTTGCAGGCCTTTTTCATGAGACCGCCAGAGCATTTCCTTGCTCTCTTGCAAGCACTGCAGATCTTGCAGAACCTGCAATAATACTGGATGGACTGGACGACGAATGGATCCTTCTCCTCCACATCGGCTTCCTCTATAATGCAAATAAAAACTCATTAGTAACAGCAAATTGAAATACGATATGGAAAGTGCAATCGCACAATACGAATGATAATGCCACGATTAAATATCTTGCAGCCAGGAAGCTTACCTAAAGCTTCGAGTTCATCGGGATCAGCAAGTGCCTCGAGATCATCCTCGTTGAAGTCATCATCGTTTTCAAAGGCATCGCTTTCTTCAGGTTCATCTAAAGCCGTGTTCGCCTCATCAACTGTCTCACCTGGAATGAAGAGAGAGAAAGTTTGCATTTACGTAGAAATACAAAGGTCTTCATCAAAAGGAAGGATAAAGAAACTCTTGACGTTGGCCGCCTGAATAAAACATCATATGCTACAGCAAATTAAACTTGAATGCATTTTGTATTTCTTCGGAAAAAGTAAATATTTGTTAGTTATTTAAATCTGATATCTATTTCCTGAAGATCTACCCTTTTCTAGAACAGAACAGAAGATTTGTGCTTGCAACAAGTTTCGTAGATATTTCAGAGAGACTGAATCATCGAGGAATGTACTCTACTGAGCAAGAAACTCTGCAGAAATCTTTTACTACAACATTGTTCCAAAATTGCAGAAACTTTGATAAATTTTTAGAGGAATCTTTGCTAAATGCCTGAGTGTACTGAGTGATTTGGTTAAGAACAGCCTTTTCAAGCCAGAATGGGTTCAGAGACTATCCGAAAGCGTCGAGCGTCGGTAAAATTTGAACACGCCCACTTTTGGGGGAATTTCCGTGCTAACAACGGATCCAACTGGAAAATGTCGGGTAAAATGCCATTTAGAATGCCATACCAGAAAAATACGAAGAAAATTGTAGTGAAAATGATTATGTAAAACCTACCGTGAATGGAAACGGCTAAGCCGAGTATGAGTAATATTAAAAGCTTCATCTCGTAGCAATTGACCTAAAGAAAAAGATATCAGGCGGGTGAATAAGTAGATATATATAACAACCGTTCAAACTCCAAACTAACGGGGTAGACGTACACGGTGAATTCTCAAAGGTAACCTGATTAATAAGAACGGTCGTTGACTAGAAAGAGAAACGAGGACGGCTTGGTTGCCAGAACCACTGCTGCCAGCGTGACATCATACAAATTGTGTTTTCAATATAAAAGCATTGTTCAACATGCATAATCGCTTCTCGAAAACTGCATCAAGAGATTAAGTAAGGCTTTATACTAATCAGTCTGAATACTCTCTCTCGAAAACAAGAGCGGGGAAGAGACGTAACCTATTTCGTAAAGAATGCCCCCCGACCAGAACAAATTTTAAACAGCAGTTAACATCGAGAATGAAACAAATACGAGAAAAAGAATCAAATCGAGAATGAAACTTTGCTACTTTATAAATGCAAACAGAGCCTATCACTCTCTGTACTGTTTGTGATAAATCCCTTTTGCTAAATTGTTGCCTCGGTACTGCAAACAATTAATTATGAATTCTATATAGTCGGCAAAACCATTATTGGAAGACTTTGTAGATGATGAGTCTTGTTGGGCAATTCTATTTGAAGGGCCTTTTTGCTACGTTGTAATGGAATACCCTGACCATACATGAATCCATTTGTTCTGGGTTACGCCCATTTGTAAACGCGGAAATGGCATATGTAGTGGCTTACATAAAACTAATTTACTTGGAACACCGACCAATAATGATTTCAAAGCAGAATTAAATATAACGAATAATAAATGTAGCAAACTATCTTTAGTTGGCTACTCTAATCAAACAAAATTTTTAAAACCCACTCACCAGCTATCACCTTTCCTGGGTGACTGGTCCGTTCGATCTGCGGGTTTAGCGACTGGCAGCGCTACTTGTTTGATAAATTGAGGGATTATGTCATCAACAAGCTGTGTTTGTGACATCTGAATACAATAAATGACATTATGCAGTTAGAAATGCCGGATTTCCTGCATGGGGCTTGTCCGCCTAATACCTACGGATACAGAATGCGGAACTATTTTACACTTAATTTTGTCGACAATCTGAGGCTGGATTGTTCTTAATTTTTTCTTAAAGGTAATGTGTCCATGTAAAAGGACTGCGTATACCCAACTTGTCAAGCCACCCACCAAAATAACAGTTTGCGATTGGTTAGTATTCTTGCGATGCAAAACTGCTCACATGAAAAGCTAACCTCGCAGCAGGATAAATAAACAGAACGACCGTAATGACTGGGGCGATGACATGAAAAATCACATGTTTCTAAAAACCCCCGCAGTAAGGAAGGAGTACAATTGCTATAGGGAGGTGTTTTGGCTCGTTTGCCAACAAAGTGAGTGAAATATTCCGACAAGTTTGAAAATTCACTGAAAATGCACCCACACATCGCTAAAAATCCTCGATTTGGAGAAAAAACGTTGTTCAACTTTTGACCAGTTTTGAGGCTCGTGTTCTTATAAAATTGTTCTTTTAAAAAAAGAGTGTAAATAACGAGCACCGCAACGCGGCGAGTTCATCAGGGGAAAGTAAAAAAGATACCGGAAATTAGAAAAAGTAGATGAAATCATTCTGGAACGTGGAACTAACTGAGGCCACCTTCAAATAATTCACTGCTTAAAAAAAATTAAATAAATCATTTGATAGTTATCATTTTATAATCCAATGACAGGGGTTTTTCAGGATAACTTTTTTAGCATTAAGATTTTTTGAAAAGTTTGCAACAAATCTTTTTGGTTCATGATATAATCAACCATTTTCGACCTCGTATACCAGAGAATGTCTGAGTTTAGAAAATATGAGCTCTTACAATATTAAATCTGACAGAATAAAACATAAGAGTTTTACTGGAAAATATCAACAGTTCTATGGCAACAATTCTTAAAGGGAACAAGAACAGATAGCTAGAAAATACCCAAAACGCTGCCCTTGTCGCTGTCTGACTGGGGTACTCACTTTTGAGGATGGTTTCTTATAAAAGAAGAGTGAATTTTATCAAACTACATTTATTTTTCTGTAATGTGCTGCTCTTCGATTTACTCCAAATCATTATTCATATTCGTTTTCTGCTAATAATTATGTTTCTGAGCACAATTCACGTCTTTTTCTCCTTTTCTCGATACTCTAGGCCGTTCCCTTCTCATCAAAACATTATGTGACGTAGAATTTGTCGGCGCCTTTGAAAAAAAGTGATGAACTTGATTTCACTCTGCTTTCGTTTAGAGTGAAATTTCCAATTATAGAGGTTTAACAACTGATAAGCGCATTAGATTCTGCAGCGAAAATGGACAATTTTAGTATGTTTAGCATGTTGGTCCAACATCGAAAAAAGTAATGGTAAAAAGTGATCGTGTAAACCCGGCCTTTAGGGACGGACTCATTTGAAGCAGGCAGCAGCTGGATGGAGAGTAGAAACACGCCAGAGTAGAGTAGGCACAAAAGCGCATTTGACCTCTGAGGCTCCTCATGGAGTGATGATGACAGTCAACTGTGATCAACTATTGATTAATTGCCAGTCAAATAAGGCCTTGTTTACATTGAGGAGCAGGGCCGTCGCAACAGGGGGTGTGGGGGGGGATATGACCCTAACCTTGTCGGCAAATCTTCGAAAATGGAAGTTTTGTCGTTAACCTCTTGGAAACTGGCAAATTTTCAGGAGAAAGACAGAGAATTTTGCCATTTTCAAATAGATAATATCGGTTGTTGATGACAGCACTAGTCACAGTTGATATTTATGAAAACCTAACGAGAATAAACAAACTCTCTCGTGCTAAAGGCCAGGCGCGATCTGACCCGGGTGGCAAAGTGGCGATCCCCACCGGGCCCTTAGACATGCAAAGTAAAGAAAATTACGGGCCCTTTCTGCAAAAGTTGGAGTGGAGAAGATAATTTTCATAAACTGGAAACTGCAGTCACAGCCAAGGCCCCTAGCATACGTGCTTGCTTCACAACTAAGCATCAAAATGAAGTCTGCGCGCAGGCCGAAGGGGCCCAACTATGAGCAACATCTACTATACAGAAATTCTATTTCAAATTTCGCACAAAGACAAATCTGTCCTACTTCCTAGAGAAATAATTTGAAACTGTATGTAGAGATCAAGGAGCTGTTGTTTTTAGTTAGTTGTCTAGAGTCGCCATTGTTACGTTTCTAGCTAATAATGACCTTCCACGCATGATGGAACGTTCCCTGGGGTCATATCACTTTATAGACAGGACATATAGCCTGACAATCTGACATTCAAGCTAATGTTTGTTTTCTCAACGGATTCTGGTAGTAGGGAGTTCAGGCTCTCATAATCTGCCAGGTGACTTTTTTGAAAATGCCTGGATGTCACGTGACTGATGACGTCATTTAACGGTAAAAAGTCAGACAAAATCATCGTTAGCTCCTCACTGAAGGGTTATTTTTTGACGCAACTTGCATATTTTGACTCGTCTCATTACAAGCTTTCAAATGATATATATTTAAGCAAGATTTGCCGACATAAGTAATTTTATTATGACGTCATAACAAATTTTGTATGACGCCATCAAATATTTTATTGTCATAAAATGATACGCTAGCATAATTTTGTTTTAGTATGACGCTGGCTATCAGCAAAAGCTTTTCTTCCATATGTTTTTCAATCAAAATAATTAGTATTTAGTTCATTTAAATTGAATTTGTGCCAACCGCAATAGCCAAAGTTTAAATAAAGAAGTCGTTACTGTCTGACGAGTGAGTCACTTCTTCCTCCGAAGTTGCAAAGTCTTGCTCCCACTTTGAACCGGACAATGATTTCTCTGCATCCGCATTTGAATGTCACACTAAATCGGAAGAATGTCTTGACAATATAGGCTATCCAAGATGTCCTACCGATGTGCTGAAGGTGCATGACTTTTTTCAATAAGGCTATCTTCTGCTGCGAAATAGGCACGTCTAAATAAATAGTCCATCTGGCATCTTTCTGATTGTGGATTTATATATGGATTTGGCTCCTTGCAAATGATAATGAAGAACAGCTTCATTTCTTGTCACAGTAACGCTTCAGGGAGTTGCAAAATAGAGTTTGGATGGGTTTTTGGGAATGGGAGTATGAAAATGCCTTTTCGGTATTGCAGGACTGGTGCCATCACGTGGAAGCTTGAGTGGTCTTTCGTTATTATTGAGGATTGCTTTGCCACTCGGTTTGTTAGTTTTCTGTTGTGAGAGGTTTTGTGCGTTGCACGCAGATGCATGCTGTATTATTTCTGGAGTTACATTTCTGGTTGCATGGCGTTATGACCTACAGATTGAGCAAATGCTTAGTTTTGTTGTCGGAGGTTTTGGTTCTTCCAGTGTTGTAGTTTGGTGCGGCTAGTTGTGGTATCAGTCCGTGAGGTGTTTTTTGTAAATACGGCCAGATCTTGGAGAGAGACGGTGTGGGTGTCGTGGGTGTTGTTGGGGTGTTGTGTTGTTTGATGTGGGTGTGGGTTGTGTTTGGTGTGGTTAGGCTGCGATGTATGGAGTTATGTGTGTGGTTGATTGATTGTATCGCTTGTGAGGTTTGGTGTCTGAGTTCAGTATCTGCCAGATGGATAGATGCATTCTAGTGGTTTTAGTGGTCTGCATTCAGTGTTTGGTTCAAGAACATTCATGGATGTGCTAATCCTCCTTATGAGGCTAAAGCAATGAAAGTGGAAACAAAGTCAACGCTAAATATTTAGAAACAGCACACGAGCAAGCAAACGGCAAAAGAGAGTCATCAAGGCAAGTGCATATAAAAAGTGGAGAGCAAAAGATACTCCAAAGTAAGAAGAGTATTTTTACATTGATGAAAAAAAGAGAATCTTATGAGACTTGCTCCCGAATTCTTTCGAAGCGCTGAGGGTCACAGGCCCCTGACAATTCAATTTATCGTAGCTTAAGGAGGAGAAGAGACTTCAAAAAGCAAGTAGAAGTCCCTCCAAGATGTAACCACAAAAAGGCGGAAACCAGAATATTTTGCATGGTAACTCGAAAGATGCAAAAGTAGTTGCTGTTGCAAAAGGTACTGATTTATGTGTGCTGCTTGTTCATGCAACACAGAAGTGCAAACCCACAAATTAGTGGTTTATGTGCATAAATAACAAACAAATCGTCAAGATTTGAAGCATCGCTGAAACTTTTGGTTCCAAAATTTGCTGTATTTTATCACAGATTAATTGAATTGTGGGCTAAGACAACTGCACATAAGCACAACATTGATAAGGTTACTGTGAAAAAAGCTAACGAGGAACCAGAAACAAGTCATCATTAAAAGTCTCTCCGAAGGAGTTATCGCAAAAGCAAAGACATTCGCGAAACAGCTTCCTTTACATCACAAGAATATGAAGGAGACGCAGGAGATGAATTTACCCATGAAGAAAATCATACACTTTCATACCCAGCGCTAAGGACCTATAGTGCGAAAACATCTTGGACAGCCTATAATAGTGCGAAGATATTTTCCGACTTAGCAACAGTCAAATGCAGATGCAGAGAAATAATTGTCCGGTTCAGAGTGGGAGCAAGACTTTGCGACTTCGGAGTAAGAAGTGACTCACTCGTCAGATAGTGACTACTACCTGTTTCGAACTTTGGCTATTGCTGTGGGCACAAATTCAATTTAAATGAACTAAATACTAATTATTTTGATTGAAAAACATATGGAAGAAAAGCTTTTGCTGACAGCCAGCGTCATATTAAAACAAAATTATGCTAACGTATCATTTTATGACAATAGAATATTTGATGACGTCATGCAAAATTTGTTATGACGTCATAATGAAAATACTTACGTCGGCAAATCTTGCTTAAATATATATCATTTGAAGGCTTGCAATGAGACGAGTCAAAATATGTAAGTTGCGTTAAAAAATAACCCTTCAGTGAGGAGCTAACGATGAATTTGTCTGATTTTTCACCGTTAAAGACGTCATAAGTCACGTGACATCCAGGCCTTTTCCAAAAAGTCACCTGGCAGATTATGCAAGCCTGAACTCCCTACTAC